TCATTAGGAGCAAAAGCGTATTGACATTGTTTTTGAAGTTCCACAATCTTTTATTTTGGAAATAATCGCAGCACCATCAGGGTAAGAGAGAGAATTGGGAGAATTGGGAGAACAGTAGCAAAAACATATCATTTTTGGAACTCTATCATTCTGTCGTGTCGGATCTTTGGTTATCTTCACAGAACCCGGGATACACATGCTTACCCACCACAATTTTTTTTTTTCATTCGATTCGAGTGAGAGAATGCGGCAAACGCGGGTAGTGAAGTGGGGTTGATGGTTTAAGGCTGTAGCTGTTTGAACTGAATTTTTTTGGACAACCTGATTTTTGGACACTTTCTGGACTGACAGCTGGTCCAACCTGGACTTCGGATCGGACTTTGGACAAGAACTTCCGGAAAACGGAATCCTTTGTATCGCTTCCTCCTTTCCCCGCCGTGTATGAGCACAGTATCGTTGCCACATCCAAGCATCGGTCGCTGACGGCCCCTAAGGTTGCTTTACCAGCACCCGACGCACTTCCCAAACCGTCATTTTGAAAGACGCGCCATCAGGGGTGGGGGGAGCTGTGCGCAGCAACGGCTGCAAACATTTCAATTTCATCACGGGCATGAAGAGCATCACAAGCCAACGGTACAATACGCGGAAAAGAACGGTAATTGCATGGTATCCGCTTACTAACTTCGTTTTAACTGGATGGAATGCATGAACTGAAATCGTATAGCACGACGTAATAGAGCCACCTCTTGCACACCACTCAGGGCTTATGGGCCTGCTTCACTCATCATCAGAAGAAACCGACTCATTGAACACGCATGGTAAATACTTTGTTTGTCTTATCTCGTTCACGACCGTGACGAACGGCGGGCCCCGACCATGTAAATCACTGGCCCGGCTCTGCCTCTGCTTCTGCGGCCCTCAGACCCATGAAACGCTGAGCCGACTGTGGTAATGATGGGGCCCTGACCACAGAGGCCTTCATATCGACCAAGGCGATCTCGATCCACGCAAACGACCCTCTGATTGGCATTGAGTGCCCAGTCCAGCGGCGGGGCCATTGAATACCCCTCCGGCCATCTCTCGGACGCTCAAAGCGGATCCTCTATCGTTGTGCGGGCCCGCCCTTCGGGCCCTCTGGATCTAAGATGGAGACACTCGTCCCTTGTGCCCCCTGCCTGCTCCGCTGCGTCGAATTACATGGGCGTCGCCGATGCATAACCTGCCAGCCGTCTGCGAGTCGTCAACTGGGTCCCGCCCCGTCACCATTTTGTTCTGTGTTGATTTCGTTGTGTTGTTTGTTGTGTGCGCTTTGTGTGTGTGTGTTGCGCAAAATCTGAGCACGCTTTGACGCGCGGTTGTTGTGAGACAGTTGTTCTCTGTCCCGCAATTGTAGTGCTTTTAGCACTGTCTTCTTTTACATTATTATTCTCGCACTTTTCGCAAGCGTGACCCATTGAGAGAGTTAATGGTGTGGGTTCATGACGACATATATCTGCGCTCAGTGACCGAGCTTTGCCTCCAACAGCAAATTCGGCTAAAACGTACTCCCACCATCGGGTCGACCACGACAAAAACCACCATATCAGGTCACCATTGACTATGTGTGCGTCCCAATGCACTTGACCGTTTGTTGTCTGCCTGTAAAGTGTCTTCGGTGTTTTATTTCAAATGCATGCAGTGCGGGATGATGGTGATCAAATCTCTTTCGATATTTTTTTGCGTTCTGCCGCGATTAAAAAAAAAAACACCGATGGAGGCTACGTGAGTACTGCCCAGTTGTCCCCAGCAGCCTTCTCTGCATAAAAAGCGAACAGCTTTTTTGTCAGATATCTTGCAGCTCATTCTTCACGGAATCTGAGCAGCTCCTTTTGCATCTGTCTTTGCAACGGACTGCAGTGATGCACTCTGTTTCACAGTGGCGCACCAGCTGTGCCCGGCACGCATAAATGAACGATAGGTAAGTAAACCATGGTAATAGAAAAACCGAATAAACTACCCCTGACCGTCGGCTCACACATGGCGCACGCGCATTCAGACGCATTGCATAAG